ATTTTATTCTGTAGTGGAAATGCAAAGAGCTAGAATGCAGGCCATTCCTATGCAATGGGAGAATATGTCCCAAAATACATCAAGGCTGAAAAGAATACAGTCTCAGCCAAAAGGAGCAAGGCAAAAGCCTGCATGCACTTCTGCTTGGACAGTGAAAAGGGACAGGATGACATTTTTGTTTCTACCTTACTTTCTCATTACATTGTATACTGGCTAGGTTTCATTCTAGAGATCTGATTCCAAGTGAATACAAAAAAGCATTAATTAAACATTTTAAATATTTTAACAATATTATGGGAATGGCTGCTCACTGCAGATAGTGCTGCTGGAGCAGCTGGGATGAGCTGCCTTTTCCTTCATATGGCTGCCTTGGAGCAACAATTATAAGTCCAGTTTAAGTTTAGTTAACCAGTTTAATGCTCCTGATGAAAAGGGAATGTATCTCTGCAATGTCACCTTCAAATTTGTACAGAGGGCAGAGTGTTATGTGGTCCATAGGTTGAGCTGAGAAGACTGGAGCAAGCTTATATAGACAAGGTAAAAAAAAGTGTATGGAGGTAGGACTTTGGAAGCAAACTTGCACTAGGGGCAGACTCCCCAGTTTCAGAAAAGGGAAGGAAAAAAGACCCACAGGTGACATGAGGAGCATACAGACTGGAAGATGGGATCAGTAGAGGTGGTCATTAGTCTAGTAATCTGTCTGATAACAACCAAAACCAGATGCTTCAGAGAAAGGTGCTGGAGACTGAGGAAAAGGGAGGCTTACCATCTTACCCACCTATGTTCATACATTGAAAATTGTCACCCACAACACTTTAAGCACTTGGACCAAAGATATCTCTCTCCAATATCAACTTCCCCCTTTCCCATACTAGGGGTAACTTCTCTCCCCCCCCAACCCCTCATCCTCTGCCAGCAGCCAATACATCTGGCCTTGTAAAATTCTACAGGAATGTGGTTTTGGGTTCAAGATCAGAACAGGATCCCTCCTTTTCTTTGGCCCTAAAGTTCCAAGCAATTTAGGCAGTTGCATCATATCAGGCATGGGAGCAGTCCCTCTCATAAATGAGCGCATAGGGGTACATAGGCTTTAACTTTCAGCACTCAAAAAAAGATTTTACCAAAAAGTAACACTTCAATAAGTAGCATAAGATGAAGAAAAAGATGCTTCAAGAGTCCAGTTAACTCTCAAAAACATTAAAGCCCTCAATTTCATACAGAAATTAAGAATGTTAAAAGTCTATACACATTTATGCAACAGGTTATAATGGTTTTAACCAGATCACCGATAAACCAGATTCAGTTAAATCAGTACAATTTATGTTTATACAAGTCCTTTTTCAATATTGTTGAACAAGTGGGATATAAAAAAAAACAAAACAAAAAACAGGTGCTTCTAGGTCCATGTGAAATTCTGTTTTACAGGACAAATTAGGCTTGAGCCCATTTTTAAAAAGCATGTGATGGATATTGAGGAAATAGAAGGGAACAAAAATAAGGGTATTACAAATTCAGGTCCCTTCTAACCAGAAAGACTATAGAGACTAGAAAAAAAACCAAGTAATGAATGATAAAACAGGAGAAAAAGTGAACCATAGAAGGGTTAGCACCTACATAGCTTCAACAACTAATATGCTCTTGAAGGGAAATCTGGGGACATCTTTATACATCCTCCCCTCACAATAAACACATTCAGCAAAAGCAGGCAAGAGAAACTATGAGATAGTAAAAGCTTCTAAATTAGCAGAGAAAGTATGACAGGCTATGAATTGCTTAAACACAAAGCCAGAGAAAATTAAAATGGCAGAATGTTTTTAACTATACAATAATCCGTTGGGTTACTGAAGCAGTGGTAGACTGGCCATCTCTTGGGAGATACCAGAGGAACGGGGATGCCTTTCTGGAATGCATGCTTAACCAAACAAGCCATTAGGCTCAATATAAGAGTATATGGGAATACAGGCATTGGAACGATCTGTTGGGTCACTGTCATACAACTCGAACCTAGTTTCCTGTGATCACAGGCAAGCCTGTACTAAAATACTTAACTAAAAAGGGACCCACAAGAACTCTGGCCCTGCTGCATCCCAAAGCTACAAAGTAACAAATGTGTTATTAGATTATTTTTTCTATTATGCCACAGGAAGACAGCAATGAAGTCAAGGGCACTGCCAATGCACTGGCCCTTGTCATGGCAGAGAATTTGGTAAATTATGCTCTCATGATCTCAGAAGTAATCTATGCCCCTGCTGCAGAGGAATGGAAAGGGCTATTGCAGGTATTTTGGTCTGTTTTGCCATCCAGGTGGGGATGGCATGGGGCTCGATTCAGCCTGCAGACTGGCCCTGTGCCATTCATTGGGCCCATAGGGCCAAAACAACAGCACTATTGCTGAAGACAAAAAACCACCAACCAACCACAGAAACCAGGTAATACATTCAAGGGGAAGTAAATGCTTTTTGGCCACGCAGCTGACCTTAAGAAGCCCTGAAACTTGTGATAAATATAACAGAGCAACAATTGCAAACATTACAAAAATTAAAAAAAATTGAACATTAGTAATTGAATGGATTTCTATAGCAAACCAGTTTAGCTCAACTGATTGAATGGTTCCTTATGGTCCTAAAGAACCGCAACCCCCACCCCCAATTATTAACAAATTTGTCAGTTGAAGGCACTGATTATGCAGAAATTCCCACCAGTTTACCACTTTTTTTAAAAGCTCAAAATAGGACATTTATCCCAGAATAACTGTACAGACACATATTTGCACCAAAATAAACAACCCATCCTCCCACCAATCAAGCAATCTAAACCTCCATATTTTGCTGCAAGTTAAACCAGTGGAAGCTTGAATACATTACAACCCCCCCCCCCACAACTTTTTCCAAATAAATCTGACAAAGCCTTTTGTGCATCAGAAAACACCAAACTGAAATTTAAATAGTCCTTTGCAAGTCACCTCTAATTACAACTTTTCAGCAATATATCTAACTGTAAAACCATTTTATGCGATCTGTCCGATCGCAAATTAATATCACTTGCAGGGATGCACCGAATACACACATGAAAATAAGCAGTCAAAGATTAGAAACAGGCTGAATTAAATGACTGCATGAATTTATTATAAATATAGAAACAAATGTTAGTGATTTGCTCATTTGGGCCAACAAATTCTGTTAAATGGGCACATTTGGATGGTATTAAGCGGTGTGAAACCACATGCTATAAGTAGCAAAATACTTCTGAGTCTATTAACATAATTGTGAAATACAAAATCAAATTCCTATCGAGAAGCCAGTTAAATAACTAAAGGATTATTTCTCTTCTATATCCTTGCATGTTTGTTTTAATAGCCAAGAATACTTTATAATACCTTCTTTTTTTGACAATTTCACTACTAGAAGAAAATACTGTCTCAGGGTTCAGTTTTGTATTTTAAATTGATAATGCAGAACTTTAATACCACTTCCCATTAAGTGAAACATGTTACAATTACCTCTAAACATTCATTTAGATCTATGTACATAGTATAATTACGGAAGGTATGCACTATGCAACCAGTGATGTCACAGAAAAGTCTTGTAAACAATATAAATCTAACTAATCTTTTACAAAGATGAGAATCACTAAGTTATCAAATTCTTTCAGGTATAAATAGTATGAGGTAAGCAATACTTAAGATGAGGCACTTCAACAATAACCCAAAAGGTAGTTAAGTGTACAAAATTATAAACAGGAACAGTTGTTCATATTGCCCTCAATTATATTTAAAAATGATTTTAAATTCTATATACAGTGTCACTTATGTGCCTCATAACCCCCATTTAAACAAAATATTTAGGAATTACAAAAGAAAATTGAGGCATTAGTAAATACCTTCAAATATGTGCAATACAGACAGGTGAGTAAACATGGGTATGTAGCAGTACATTAAGAAAGTGCCTCACGTAAAAAAGAAAAAAGTATGGTTTTCTGCACAATCCCAGACTTTCTCTTGAAAGAAAATATCTCTGCACAGAAAGTTAGCTTGGTATTAATGTGTAAATCTGCCAGGCCAGAAAGGAAGAATCCCTACTGTGTTAAAGAAAACAATGCCAATTAGAACAGGATTTAATTCTTATTGGGATTTATTGCAATTAGAAATGTAACAAATTTAACTTTACAAAGAAACTAATTATGCCAATTAAAACACTTTGTAAAACTTCCTAGGAATTTATGTAGCACTGTGTATGTACACAGTGCTGATCAATGCATGATTTATTAAAATGACTTAGGGCACTTTTCCAGGGAAATTTACTGAAGGGGTTTAAGCAGTTGAGCATAGACTACAATACTTTTAAAGAATTCAGATTAAAACACAATAACCTTATCTACCATGAGCACTTCTATATCAAGATTCAGAGACAGGACACAATGCCCAATAAAACATAGCAGTAAACAGAGGTATCTTGTCAACTTAAAGGTATCAAAAGCATTTGGTTATCACCTGCACTGTGTCCTTGTTCATTTGCCTGGCTAATAAGCTCAACATTTATTATAAAACTGGGAATATAGCTTTCAAAATAGTAGCAAGAGATCATTATGCCAACTAATTTGTACTGAACTGTATCTTACTACCACTGTGTCATTTTTGACAATTACAGTTAAGTTGATGTTGAAGCAACAGTAACCTGATACATGCTTCCCTCACCCTCATTTTGGAAAGGTAAAATGGAGACTTCCAAATAGAAAAAATTATTCCCTTTTGGGAATAATGTGCCTGTATTATGTGAACACTGATCATAAATTAGCAGAGGCTTATTACAAGCCAGCTCTGGATTTTCTTTTTAAAATGTACTTTCAGAAAGCCAAGGATGTTTTACGTAAATTTGACATTTTGAACTAATTAAACAAATGCAGACTATGTTAAGTCTTCTGTTTTTAAAGATAAGTCAGTCCAGTTTTGAAATTTAAATTAAACAAACATTGAAAAAGCTTTAGTTACTAGAATGACAAAATTAAACTTGGCAAAATTCATGAATTTTATTTACAAATACATGTACCAAGATTACAACAGAAACACACTCTGAAACTCCATCTCAACAAAAGCAATGATTTATTGATAATGACATTAAATGAAACAGATTGACAGTCTCTGGCTACGGTCAAGCAATTATCCAGGAGCTGGAGATAAACTGAAGATCTCATTTGATTGAAATAAGGCCTTCCAGTGTCTTTTCCATCTTAGTGACTCTCTCCTTTCTTGCCTACTACCTGATAAAAGAAAAATAGAAGATAACTACTAATGTATGTTTGCAATCGCACAAAAAAAATGTAATAGCCCTTAGTAATTTAAGTGCTCTTAAATTTTCAACTATATTCATTTTTCAGCATGCATCTTAATGCTGGCAGTAGAGGGAGCTGTAAATCACTCCTGGAATTAAGTTGGACATGGAATGCATGTGAGAGAATCCTGTTTTCTAGTATTAATCCAGATAGCAAAGCAAGATCTCTTTTGAGACAAGTTAGGAAATAGTAACTGCAATACAAAACAGCCCACACTATTAAAAATATACACCAAACAAGGTACATATGAAGGGTCAGAGCCAAATACAATGTAAAAAAAAATACTCTTCTTGAAGACTGCAACAAGCCCCTCCCTTTTGTACTCATACCCCAATTAGCTTTTCATTTCCTGCAACTATGTATACATTAAAGATAGGAGGTCTTGATCAGGAATTTTTGCATTGTAATACAATTCAACACTGAAAAGTAACTAAAAATGGCCTATAGGAGCCTCCCAGTTTTGCTTAATTACTGCTGTATCAAACAGATTTGGTGTATGGGTAAGAAGCTTCCAATTCCAGATCTGCAAACTTAAATCATGAACCAGTCAAACTGGATTATTTTCTTCTTGCACATCACCAGCAAGTAATGACCTTTTGGAACATGGATTAGCCCTCCAATTTCTGTGCAACCCTGTTACCTCCATAAGGTGGCACAGAGGCAGCTGACTGGACCTTAATCCTGTTTCTGCACAGAATGAAACAGAATCAGACTTACTTGGCTAAGATGAGTTGATACAAGACACAGGGAGCAGATCCATTGTTAAGATGGAACCATTTTTAGTCACTTTGCAGAGGAGAAGCACTTTTAAATCTGGTGTCTTGTAACCCAAGACAGTAAGTAGTTATTAGCCAGGGGGCGAGAGGTGGGAGAATAAACTGATTTAATGATCACTGTACCAGACTGGAAGATGGAACTTTCTAACATCAGTTTGGCCTCTTGATTTACAGACATGCCCCATTTCTCCCTCCGAGTTGAAAATACTTACTTACCCGACAAGGTTTTGCCAGGAGTCCAATTAGGAAAGGGTTTTGAAACTGTTAAATCCTATGTTTCTAATAAAGCCACATTGTTTAATAAGCCCAATTTTACACTTCATTACTTGAGATTATTATGAGCAATGGTGACACTGATATTTCTAGGAAGTAAAAATGTATTTTAATAAATTGACTCCTGGGGTAAAATGTGTTAAGAGGATGATTCTCACTGTGGTTCACTGGATCTTAAGGACAGGCCCTTGCCTGGCATGATTCGTAAAGCTCCATCCTTTACTACTGGCTGAAACAATTTATCAAGGCAAGACAGGAGGAACTGACTTCTCCCAGGATGTCAGTGAGGAACACAGCCTACCCCATAATCTATGCCTGGTCTCACTCCTGCCCCCTCCTCTGCCCCCAGGGGGAATGGCCAAAGGCTTTCACTACTCAGCTGCAACTGCTCTAGGAGACATGCTGACTGACCTACTTTGAAAAGTGCTTGGAGATCTGATGGAAAGAGCTATGTAAGAGCTGTCATTATCATCTCCTCCTCCTCCAAGAGCTGATGGTCAGGAGTATATTTACAGAGTTGTGAGGCCTAGTGCTTAAAGCTAGAACAATTCCAGTCCAGAAAATAAAATCCAAAAGTGCAGAAAAGAAATAGTCCATTTACTTGGGTTAAGATTCCATTAAGTCAAGTTAAAAATATAAGATTAAACTTGGCAAATAAGTGAGAGGGTAATATTTATTGTTTGGTTGTGTTTCTTAAGCACCAAGCAGTGTTCAGATATGCATTAAGCATGAAAACACCAATATATTAAAGATTAAAGATGTTAGCAGGTATATAACATCAATCAAAAAATAAATCTATACCAGTCAGAGGTGGAAATTGTCAACACTCCCATGTGTATTATCTGCAAAAGTTAAGCATGCCAGTATGGATATTTTGTCATCATGGGCCAAAGAGATTCATTTGCTCCCAATCCAAATACAGAACAGCTGTAAGAATTTACACTACACAAATACTGCTATTCTTTCCATGAGCATTTGGTCTATCTCCCTGTCATTGTTTTTAAGATAACCCATATGGCAGTTGCTTGTTAAGACTTCAGATCTGAAGAAGGCTATGCAATTGTAACCTAATACAAAATGTTTGGAAATAAAATTAAAAAAATCAAATTCCCTGACTACTTCACAACAGTCTAAAAACAGCAGGGAGTCGCTCAGAATACTGTATTTATGTAAAATGCTAACCAACTAGTCAATTTATGTAGTGCGCTCAATTTGTACATTTTGAAACAGAAATCAGAAATTAAGAAGCCAGAGGTTATCCTTACCATTGACAGAAATAATATGGTATGATGATGTAATTGTTATACCCCATTAAACTCACATAAAAAGAAAGAAAATGAAGTACAATACTTTGCAGTCTTTTAAAAGCTGCATCTCAAACTGCTTTGAAGAATGAAATACAAGACAGAGCATGTTACACAAAACAGGTGGAAAAATGCTTCATGGCAAATCTTTAAGGCAGCTAGTTTTAAGGATAACAAAAGGATGGAAATCAAAAAACAAGGTGATAAAAGATCATATTTTTAAGATAGGAGATCAAAAAAAAATAGCTGATGAGAAGGAGACACACGGGAAGGCTGTTCCAGATGACAGAAGCTGCAGAGGAGAAGGCTCTTGTACCATTGGTGAGATTGTGGGAAAGGAGAGACAGGTACTAGATGAGCAGAGGAAGCAAGAAGGGGAGCAGTGTGAGACAAGATCAATTAAAAAAATTATAGTTCTTCTGCATTTTTAGTTCTTTGGGGTTGGGAAGTTAAGCTGAAAAATAAACAAACAAAATGTTACAAGAAGCAGCTTGGAGTGCAAATGAGTAGCATTGAGACAAAAGAAAAAGCTATACTACTTCAAGGGGGGGGGAAGGACTAGAGGGAAAGGGGAGAGGAAATTTTTTTTCACATGCATCAGTCCCCACCCTAAAACAGGTGCTTGCAGACATTAAGAAAAGGAAACCAAAAGAAACCCGAAAGAAGAATGGTGCTTTACTTTAAACTCAGCACGTTCCCATGCCGAGCCCCATACATGCCCAGAAGAGGCAGCGCATTACTTTAATCTGGCTCCGCAGCGTCTGTAAAAATCAGGCACATTAATGGGGCTATTTTGGTACTTCCAGCTACAGCCGATACAATCAGCTATTACATAAGTACCAAAAAGCCTGACTGAAGCACTGGATCTTTACAGATGCTGCAGAGGCAGGTTAAAGTAATGCGCTGATTCTTCCGGTAAAGAGCACTTAAAAAAAAAATTCTGCAAGCAGCCTATGTTACTTGTTGTAAAGGTTCTTTACTTCTGTTAATAATGAGTATAACAATGCACAGCAGGTTAAAAGCATTTTTGATATCAAATAAAAGTTTCTTTAAAAAAAAAAAAAAAGCCTGCAAATCATCACAAGATTCAGTAACAAGTTACCTAAACTCTAGAGAACTAATAGGAAATAAAATAAACCCACATCCTTGAAATATTTACTGCTTTTACTGGTCTGGTTAACAGGGCAATTTGGCCTAGGAAAAGTATGTGGTGTAAAACATTTTAAAATTAATCAGCTACAGTAATTTAGTCTGCATTACAGATTGAGTAGTTCAAACGAATACGCACCTCATGTTGGTAGAAAAGTAAAATCTTAAGTACCAACATATCCATGACGTTTAATTCCCATTACTACCACACATCCTACACACCACTTTTATTTATAAAGATGGCTGTTAAAGCAAGCAACCAAAATGGTTTTTTTGTTGTTGTTGGTTGGGTTTTTTTTTGGTTTTTTGTTTATAATGCAGCGAATTCAAAAGAAAATTCAAGTAAATTTACTCTCTGGCTGCTCAGGACCACTCTACTTAGCCAGGGCAAAAAGTCTCTCCCATCTCCCCAGCCACTCACCATAATTCAGTGCACCTACTTTGTACTAAAAATTTGTTTTGAAGTCAAGTTTACACTTCTCACAGGCTACAGTTCAGTTGTGAAAAGAGAAGCAGTAGCTACTCCTTCAGAAGGAGTTATTTGTTTGGTATCGTTTTGTTCAATTGACTGTAAATGAATAGCTGCATCCACGTACTCCAATGAATTCCTGATGAAATTACTTTTGAGATGCTTCTGCTAGTGGCTCTGCTGAGTTTCAGAGAAAGACGTACACCACACTTGTTTTTTTAAATACTGGCTACCTTTTTTGGGCAAACACATTAACTGATTGAAAGCATTTTTTGTGGCATATTTGTTGTTATTAATACTCGAAATAAGATTACCTTTGCTTGACTATTATTTAAGTTAAAAAAAAAGTATTAGGACAACAGAAGATGAGAAATGAAAAGAAGAGGAAGGAGTATTTTCTATCAGGAACAGAATTTATGAGAATGTGTAGACCTACAACATAACTATTTCTATAACTATAAAGTTAGGTGAAAAGTGAGGGGCAGTTAGAACCAAAGTTAAGACTAGTGAGTGAAGCAGAGATGAAAATAGAAAGGTGTAATGAAGGTAACTGCGCACAAGAAGTGGAACCAAAAAAGATTTAGTTAAACTTTATTCAGTATATTTTACCAATGAATAAAAATAATTTCCAGCACTAAATTAATAGAACAGTATGGTTTTGCAGTAAAATTGCAAAATGTCTGTCATAAATAGGTTAGAAACAACAGAGGAAGATTTAAATCTTCCAGACTGATTATATACATACAAGATATACATAAAATCTTGATGCCCATCTTGCTGTGGTCATCTGATCCCAGCAGTCTTTCCTGCCCAAGTGCAGGGGGACTGGAGTTAACTATCTGTAAGGTCCCTTCCAGGCCCTAACATTTATGAAACTATGAAAATCCCACATATCAAGTAAACTATTTAATGAGAGAATGTAAAAAATACATATTTGGGAAATTAAAGGGGGGGTGGGATTCACGTTTGTCAGCAGCCAATAAACCCAGTTCCCTGAGCCTCTCTTCAAAAGTCATGTGCCCCAGCCTCTGAACCATTTTCATTGCCCTCACTGGACTCTCTCCAATTTGTCCACACCCTTTCTGTAGTGGGAGGTCCCAAAACTGAACACAGTACTCCAGATGTGGCCTCATCAGTGCTGAACAGAGGGGAAGAATCACTTCCCCTCAATCTTCTGGTAACACTAATACTAATTCAGCCCAGTATGCTGTTAGCCTTCTTGGCAACAAGGACACACTGGCGACTCATATCCAGCTTACTGTCCACTGTAAGCCCCAGGTCCTTTCCTGCAGACCTGCTGCTTGGGTCTCTCTGAACCCTAGCTTTACCCTCCAGTGCATCTACTACTGCCCCCAGCTTAAATCTGTTCTGAATTAGTCCCTTTAATTCATTCTCTCACTTAAAGTGTTCACCTTTATGTTCCTTTGATAATGGTACATTTAAAGTTTCCTACACCTTTCTAAAAAGAAGTCACATAGGGACACAAATATACACCTCTCTGCTATTATGAAGTATGCATTCCTTTTACTGTATCACATACACGTGCAAGTCAGTGGAACTGGCTTGGTATTTACCAACATCTACAGGAGCTTTTCTAGGTTTAAAAACCTGAGCTTCACAGAGCCAGGAACTGATGTGTAGATTCCCCCAACCAAACCAGTTTTTTCTAGCTGCTTGTTCTAGGTGCTTTTGCCATTTTATAAAGGACAAAGAGTGGGGATTCAGTGTACATGACTTCATTAAAAAGATCACTGGAAGCTACTCATAAAATAACATACAGGCTTAAAGGTTAAGATACACCAGTTGGGCAAAGCTGTGGAAATGTGCAACCTTAAAATGTAAAACTTAATTTTTTAATGAAGTTTTCTATTGTGGAAGCTCAGTCCTACCAGTGAAGAAGTTTGAAACCCTTCCCTGAACAAACGTTCACCAATGAGGATTGTTCATGTGTAAAATGCAGTTGCTATCATTTATAGGTAAAAAAGTAAAAACCTAACAACCAAAAAAATCCCCTTGGTGTTTTTAAAATCCTGCAGGTCCAGTTTTAGCTTTCAACTCAAATCCAATTCCTTTAGCAGTTAATGCTTCCCTTTGAATGGAGACCAAGCCTACAAAGTTTTCACTGTAAAAAATATTTCCAGAATCTTGTGAACTTCTGAAGGTTATAATAAATATTGACCCCATTCTTGACAGTAGTCACTACCCTGCTGTGATATAACTACAAGGCAGGGAGGAAGGAGGAATTGAAATGTTTTTAAAAATTGCCATTTACACCGAGTAATCAAGACACTTCTAATATTTTGATACTTCTAATCTACACATTTCTTCTCCTTTTAACAACTGAAAAGAAAAGATTGCATTAAACCACTATAAGCTGTAAATCCGATCACTCCTAGTACATTTATTAAGACAGCTTTTTTAGCAAGTCTTTTCAGGTTTTGCTATAAGATAAAAACTGTCAAACTGTTAAACTCCAATTAGTTTTTTTTGCAGAAACCTATTTAAAGCAATGGGATACAAGTTTATCAATAAATCCTTGCAAGAGTTTTATCAAAGGTTTCCAAGAATAGGACTGGAAGGTTTATCAAGACTTTTAAATAAATGAAATCTTGGCAAATAGAAGCCCTTAACTTCTTATGCCAAACATACTTGTTTTAAAGGAATTATGTTGTGAGTATAACTGTGATGTTATCACCTTAAAAAGTTTAAATAGTTCACTGACAGAAGACAAGTAATTTTATCTAGTTAGTGTGAGATGGAGATAAGGTGAAAGAGTTATAATCATCTTATCTCAAGTTAATTGCCTATTAAGGACTCTTTTTATTAAGATTTCAAAATCCCCATTTTCAGTTTGATTGAGGCTCTCCAGGAGCAGATACCAAAGAATAGCTTAATAGAATTTCCTTAGGAATAAAATGTTTTTAAGTTATACTAGAAGAACTTAAAAATTACATTATAAAATTGCATAAGGATTAAATACACTGGTTAGTGTAAAAATAGAAGCTCTCATATGCCTGCTTAATATCATCAATAAGACAAAATTGTCTGGTCAAGATTCTTTTCAGCTGACTCCTGCATACTGTTTTCCTCTGTGCAATGGTATTTCCAGAAACTAACTATCATGAAGACATAGGACAATATCCCATTTGAAACGCTGCAAATATTAAAAACGATTTTTGCATCTATTCCTCAAGTGGTTACTGCTGCCGTTTATCTTTCTCTCTCATGTTCTTATTTTACACTGCTGGAGCGTTCCAATTTAATGATAGCCACACACTTCATAAATAGTATCAGAGTAAGCACTTCAGTTTAAGATAAATAGGCGTTGTTCTGAAAGGTGCAAGAGTTACTTTAAGTCAAGAAGTGGAATTATAAAACATCAACTAAAGTGGATTTTTCAATTAATGACTTTTTATTAAAAACTTAAAATCTGCATTTCAAAATTAACACCACTTACTCGCTTGAAGTCATTCATGTTTGTTGCCTGGACTGGAGTTCCAATAAAGGTAAAATATGTAATTCTTGTTGTTTCTTCATCGCCATGATTTGATTGGACAAATAACTAACAAAGGACAAAACAATAGATGTAATGTATGCAAATAGTCTTTCCCTTAAAGGAAGCATTGCCATTTCCCCAAATCTTTAGAAACAGTGAGGCCAGGACAACAGATAACTTCAGCAGTACAATCCAAATTCAGACTCCCTACCACCGCCCTAACCCCATTAAAAGAAAGATTCCTGCCTTCATGTTGCCAACACAAGGGAGATCTGTAGCTGACAACACAGGAAGTTCTTCCAATATTTGGTATTTGCTAAATTCAAGAGCAATTCTATATGGAATTTACATTGTTCTGAGTGCTTTGCTGGATGGATTATGAATTCCCCATTAGAATTCATAATCCCCATTAGAAAAATTCAAAATATTCCTTTTCAAAGAGTTAATGCCAATTTATATAGTCATTGCTAATTTGGTTTAACTTAACTTTAAAATTAAGACAACTTTTAAAGCAGGCAAAAAAACACACAATATTTTTTGTAGAGAGGGGAAACTGACAAGGAGTTGGGGCTAGAAGACACAGGAAGGCAGAAGAGGAGTTCGAGGACTGGGACAGACCTCATGGCTTTCCTGACTTTGCCTTGCAGGAAAGCAGCCATTGGTGCCTTACCTCCAAGTGATTGGAGTGATGGCAGATTGAAGGGGGAATGCATATGTCTGTCTTTGAATACCATGGATGCATGGCTCCATTTCACAGGCAGTAGAAATAATGCTTTAAAATTATTTTCAACTACCACAAAGCTGATTTTTCCTCTAAGGCAGTGGTTCTCAATCTTTTTAGAGAGTCAAAGCACCTTGGATAAACTTGAGGTACCCCCCTGAAGATGCAAGCTCTTAGTTTTCACTCTTTTTTGATCACAGAAAAATAAAGCAGTTTTTCTGTTGCAAAGAACTCAAAAAGACGCTAACTACACATTTCTATTGGAAATTGGTTTATCTCGTGAATCATGTTTGTGCTAAAATTGTGTGGAACCTCTGGCATTTTTGAAAGGGCATCAAGGCACCTGGGGTGGGCACCCTGGTTGAAAACCATTGCTCTAGGGCCTGAATAATCTGAAAGGACAGAATCTAGGCTAGTAAGAGTTATGAAGAAATCTAACTGTAGGAGGACAGAAGCAGCAGAACAGAGTATAGGACATGGTGCTGAAGTGTGGTAATATATTAGGTTGGTGTCTTTGATTATTCTGATGAATACTGAGGACCCTGCAAGTACTTGTATGTAACTTAAAAGACAACAAATAATCCTATAGATGCAAGAAGACTGTTCACATGCACACAACTGCAGGTCTGGACACGCTGAATTCGGCAGCAGGGGTGGGGTGCCAAGTGGTACCCGTGCCGCTTTGCCCGGCTCCGCGGGGCCCGGGGCAGTTGCCCTGATTCGCACCCCCTAGGGACAGCCCTGTATACAATACACTGCTTAAGAGTTGCACAGTATTTCATAGTTCCAAGCCTATGGAATTGGAAAATGTATCTTGAAAAGCATTGCCTGAAGAAATTTAGGGATCACAGTGGATAAACATGCTGATGAATTTGGAGCATAAAAATCTGCCAGAGCGCTAATACAATCCTCTCCTCCTCTTTTTTTTCCTCTATATTAAAAAAAAAGGAGAGAGAAAAAACCCAAAGAAAATGGTGAAAAGAGCTACAATAATGATTTAGAGTCTGGAAAAAATGCCTTGGAGAGACTAAGGAACTTGGTATGTTCAATTTAGCAAGAAGCGACTGAGATAACAACAGTGTATTAGTATCTGCAAAAGGGGGGAGTCTGGCATACTACATTGCTTTTAAAAAGTAAAGAAATGCACAGAAAGTAATGATGGCTGGGAGCTCAAATCAGACAGATATATCTGTCTTTATCTTAACAGTGACGGTTGCAGTTCTGAGCTCGACATTTTAGGCCACTTACAGAGTTTTGGTGAGCTGTTGCAGACTTAGGAGGGAGGCAGGAAAGAGGGCAGTGCTGACCCAGCACAGTGGGGGAGAGGGGCAATTGATGAGCCTTGGGGTGCCTGACAGAACAGGCAGGTGTGGTCTCCAACAAGATCGGCCTGGGACCCCTTCAGGAAGGCCATGCTCAGCCAGGTGAACTGAATGGATCCACAGGGACCTGTGAGCAGTGTCTGGGTGCAGGACAGGCAGGGCTGGGATTGTGGGGAAGTAACAGCATGGGGCTGGGGCTCAGGGAAGACCTATGATCCGCTCCCCACATCCCCGCGACAGGCACCAGTTCTGCAGGCAGGCATGTGTGGGAAGTGTATCAGGGCTACACCCTAGGCTCCGGCCCTGCACTGTAACCTTCCTGCGATCCCAGCCACAGCCCTGCTCCCTGCCTGTGTACCTAAGGCCACATCCCATCCATCTGGCTGAGTGCACCCTGCCTGAGGGGGTCCTGGGCCAGTCCATATGGAGACCTCACCTGCCTGCCCACTCCATCTAGTGTCCCCAGGCAGCAGCTGTCAGCCAAAATAAGCTGCTGCAGTGCAGGCTGCCAGGAAACTGATTCAGGCCACTGTGCCACCTCTACCTCACTGCATGCCTGGGTGAAACTGGCTGCATGTGCCACAGCCTGGGCTGCTCCCCATTCCTGGGCCAGGCAGAGCCAAGGGACCCACTGCAGGCCAGATAGAACCCCCTTGGCAGGCTGGATCTGGTCTGAGAGTTGTGTTTTGCCCACCCCTGGTCCACAGGCAGATGAAAAAAAATGATAAAGGGGCTTGATGGCAAGGAATATGAGAAAGGCTGACAGAACTAGACATGTTTAACTTGAAAAGGCAATCAAGGGAAGATGTAATAGCAGCCTTCAAATGAAATGCTGCTATAAAGATGATGGAGAAGCACCGTTTCCTTTGCTGCAGAAGGCAGGACACAAAGCAATAGCTTTAAATTGCAACAAAGCAGATTTAAATTAGACCTCCAAGAAGAACTCCATTCCTGTTAAAACAACAAGGCAGTGGAACAGACTGTCCAGGAAAGCTGGGAAGTCTTCTTCATTGGCTACTTTCAAGGATAGGTTGGATAAGGATTATATAAGGACGATTTAAGAGTATCATATCTGCACAGGATTGGGTCAGATTGCCTATGAAGTCCCTTTCAGTCCTGGGGGTCTATGAACCTGAGCTGGTCATTAATGCACAGATATTCTGGACTTTCATATGCCTTATTCAAATCTTTAATTCAATTTTCAATTTTGCCCTAAATGTTTTGAAAGTTTTATATTAGTCTGTATGAAACTGGAGAGAAAGCTTTACTTACAGTTACACTGTTAACATTCTGAAACTTTACATAGCGAAGTGGGATAATACCATCCTCTTTAATGTCATCTGGTGTTAGTTCCAGGGCTTGGGTTGGTTCACTTCTCTCAGCCTCTTCAAAATCCATTGATCGTGGGAGGTTTATAAAGATTTTTACATACTTAGGACCTTGACCTGTGTTAAGAAATTTTCAATTTTAAGTGATTGAGCCACTTTTTACAAATATAAGATTCCAAAAATATTTTAGGGGAGACAATATTGGTTTGTTACATACTACCACCTGGTGGTAATTTAAATCTTTTTTTTACTTTGCCACCTAAAAAAGAAATATAGTAATTATAGCTTCATCTTAAATAATTTTTAAGCATGTTCACCTTTCATACCATGCACTGTCAGTATAAGCAAGCACCTGTGACCTAGCAAAAACAAAAGATGTTTTAAACTACATGCAACAAAGAATGGGCACGGTTACTCTACTGATTATGTCTTCCATTTTATTAACCCCTGTTTTTAGTATTTCAGTGAAGATGCTGAAGGATTTCCAGAGAGCACCAGGATCTGGGGACAAAGCTGCCAAAATTAGTTGCCTTTGCTGTGACAATGTGGTATTTACAAATAATAATCATACTGCTCAGAAAACAGGTACTGCCGCAATTAGGGTTTGGATACTTAAAAGTCTAGTTAAAATCTGGACACCCACTAAAAACTGTATAAAATGGAAACTAATTGGGAGCAAGTTTATTGTGTGAACAAACAGATGCACATTACTCACCATTATCTGGTCCTTGAAGCTTCATAGAATAAAGCTTGACAGGCTGACTAAAAGCTACAGTAATAAGCAGCTGTGGAGAAAAAAAAAAAGCACGAGGCATTCCTGAATCCAGGACACTTTCAAACAGAAAGCAATAGTTAACTAAATGAAAATAAGTGAAAATTCTTATTAATTCACAGGAAATGGCAAAATGTGAATCCTTCCGTAAAACAATTAAAACATAACTATCATTTAATACTGCTCAAGCAAAAAGCCTTCGCTGAATGCCATTTCACCAGAAACCTGAAGCTTGTAGTCAGATGTAAGAGTAAGTAGGTATCTAAAAATCAAAGTCCTCAGCCTAGAAAATCTTGCTCATGGTATCTGATTAGGCTCATACTTTTGGGTAGCTCCATATCTAGATGCTACATCTAAGGTACCTAAAAGTGGCCCTGCAGACACCCCAAAACAACACGCACAAGTTTTCAGGAATGAAAAGCTTGAAGCCTAAAGGTCAAGCTAACCCCAACACATTTCATTCCCTGAAAGGCTCTAGACAATTTAGAATTCTGTTGATAATACCAAGCACATATTAAAGTATTTGCTCTATGCTTTCAGTGCATCTAACAGACTATTTCTATCCTTTTTTTGAAACGTCATAGGTAGGGTAAAACTATTTACTCCTTACCTCCTTTAAAAAAGGTACTGTGAATTGAAAAACAGAACTGTTTTACTACTTTAAGTCTATGATGTTAATGTTTTAACTGTCTTTACAGCTGGCTGTTGTAAGGTTGCTGGTAAAAGCTCTGGTACTCAGCATTTTGGTTTAACCAAAAACAGAAAATGAGAAAAGCTATTATAGTTTTCTCACACAGTTTTTACTTATTTCTCCTTCCCCTTACACTTCTGGCTTCCATAAGCCAACAAGAATGAAATAACTGTTAGCCAATACACAAAGGAAAACCTGTTTTTGTGAAGCAGATATTCTAAATTGCAAGACACACATGGACAAAGCCCTCCAGCCCCAATCTCCCATAGCATACCTGCTCATCACAGTCTGATTCCAGATAGGTAGAGTCTTTACGTAAGCAGTTATCAAACCCATGCTCGTCACTTTCGTTAAGACATTCACAGCCGGCTTTATTAATAAATGGCATTAAATCCATCTGAAAGAGAAAGGGTTACTAAGTACCCGAAATTCAACTCACTCAACAGCACTAGTATGTGTCAACTAGTAAAACTTCTCATCATGAACAGAATGAAATCTAAAGAAACAGTATTTCTCTCTTCCCCAGTTTTTAAAACAAAAAAAATAACCTTATTATGAAGGCATTACAGTAAGACCATATTCATTTGATATCTGATAGTTCAAAGTATTGGATACCTCAAAACTATTGCCACTCCCCATCTGAAAGGATACATTTTTGTATGCCTTATCATGCAAATAATTTGAAATGTCTCCTTTACATCTGAAGCTGTTTTCCGGTCCCTTAGACCAGGAAAGCCTCGTTAATTTGAAACGCAGGGAACCAAAAAAATACCAACTTTGAAATACTTTAAATAGGTTCAATATAAATGTATGAATAGTAATTTGTATGCACCTAAATTCCTATGGGGATGTATAGACTTAGTTCATCCTTGGGGGCAAGGCTGGGGTTGAAGGGATCATGGATAACTCCTTACTTTATCAGTTAGTAAGTCCTGCATGCGAGTGAACTAAGTCTGTATATACCCACAGTAATTTACATGCATGTAAACTCCCATGTGTACATTTATTTTGAACACATTTATTTCAAAGTTGCTAATATTTGTCCCCCACATTTCAAAATTTACAAGGTTTTTACTGTACATCCACTGTATGAGTTGTATAAACATCCCAGCCACCCCATTTACAAGATTTGTAACCACACATTCCCTGGACCATATATTTACTAAGATCTCAGTCAGGGAAAAGAGAGTTATCTGAGGCTGTGTTCTGACTGCTTTATCAAACCTGTATCCCCAAAACTTTTTTGACATGCAGTTTCAGGACAGGGATTATAACTTAAGTTTTAATGTTCTTGTAGGAAAATCCAGAAGTGTACCTCTTCAAAGAGAAACCATACACCATAATAGAACAGTCTAGTAACACTTGGAGCAATATGCTCTAGACTCCATCTGCAAAGCTAGTCTTTTTATCTTTCACATGGAGGGTTGGGAGAAAAAAAAAAAAAGAAACTGCTAGTTTCATAAAAGGCTTTGATGACTAGACAGCACACATTTCCAGCAGGTTTGGTATTTAATGAAGACTTATCAGGTGTTAAGAATTCCCCAGCCTTTTTGAGAACAGCAAAGAACAACAATTGCTATATTTACTGTATACCAGATTTCTTCATAGCTGAGCTCTCTTATATAAAGAATCTTGCTAAGGTTCTTCACACTTTAAGAAGTATGAAGAGAGAACACCAACAGGTTACCATTAGGCTACAACTTTTGACTGAAGATATGATCTGCGCTGCGGTGAGCAAAATATGGCCCACCAGGCAATTTTATCCAGCACAAGGCAGGACCCCACCCAGCCTAAGTGTATGGGGCAGCCTGGGCTGCAGTGCATGTGGCCGTCCCATTGCCTCCAGGCACAGAGGTGCCACCTGGGGCAGAGCACAGCCTGACCTATTCCTGCATGCGGCGCTCAGGCAGGCCAGGAGCTGTAGTCCACAGGGCTGGGTGGTACAGTGGTTGGACTCAGCTTCCTGATAGCATCTGCAGTGGTGGCTCGCTCTACCCTCACACTTCTGGCTGCTGCTACCAGCATGTCTGCTGTCAACACACCCAGCCTTGCTGATCAGGTACCCCAAACCATCCGCCTTGCACCTACTGCCTGGGATGCCAGATGGAGCGGACAGGGTGTCCATGGAGACCAGGCTGGGACCTCGTGAGCAGGCACACTCAGCTAAGCAGATGGGATGGGGCTGCAGGCAGGCAGGGAGCGGCATCCGGGAACAGGAACAGACGAGGAGTGATCATATTGTGGGGCAGGGACAGCACAGGGCCAAGTCCCAGGGCAGAGGTGTGAGCCGCTCCCCACGTCTCTGCCTTGGCCCCATGATTCCAGGCCTGCCCACTGGTTCCACTCCCTGCCTGCCCGCAGCCCCATCCCATCCACCTGGCTGAGTGCACCCCACCTGTGGGGTCCCAGCAGTCTCCGGCGAGACCCCCACCCACATACCTGCTTCATCAGGCACCCTCAGTGGTAGGTGTCGGACACACGAGCCCAGACAGGATCAACTGGCATCTTTCCGGCTGCCTCCCCACCCAGGGGTGGTGTAAACAGCTGTGTTACAGGGCTAAAGCCGGGTCAGCACCCTGCCCTCTGGTTCAACAGCTCACCAAGACTCCTGAAGTGGCCCTCCAGCCCAAATAATTGCTCACCCCCGTCTACATTTTTGCACACATTTACTTAGCATTTATGGTTTCAACACAAAAAATGTCCTAAAAACAATATATATTAGGTTCCCCTCCAACAGCCCTAGATGAAAAAAAAAGTGCCTGGAAGTGCTGCTCCCTGTTCGCTTCCCCTTTCTCTATATCACTCAGCTGAGAAGTGGGGACAGCAATTTGAAAGCCAGAGGGATCAGGTGTTTGGTTTGGGGAACACCTCTGTATCCCCAGCTCCCAGGCTTTTCACCTTCTCCTTGCCATCCAGTGCCCAGCTGACTCGCTGCTGTGACAGCATCCTGCCTCATCCTGCTCTGCTCCAAGTCTTGTGAACCTTACCACCATGGCAAAATGCCCCGGCCTCATCCTGCACTCGAACACCAGAGTAAGCAGCAAGCAGCTGGCAGCTGCCCTTCCCTCCCCTCCCAGTCTATGGGTTGAGGATAGCCACTGCCCCCCCCACCCCACATCCCTCTACCTTCTCCAGACTGATGACTCCAGTCTTGGGAAAGTATGGGAGCAATTCCCCCACATCAACTCCTTTTGGTCCTGAAGAAAAGTTAAAAGCCAAGGGAAACTATGCAGATATTCAGTCTTCTGAGAGATGGGAGCAATTTAACTCACATTGGCTCCTAGCTATTTTCCTCCCAGTGGCTATTTTTTCTCCAGGAGAAAAAGCTTGAATATCTGCACACTCTGAGTTTCTCCCAAGAGAACAGTGATTCTCCCAGTAGAAAATGAACACTTGTTTATGACCAAGGTTTCTTTTAAATTATTTTATGGTAGAACATCTCCCTGCCACCCCACAAAATAGCCAAAAGATTACTGAAGATAATCTACATGCTCAGTCTCTCAGTTTAGTGTTGTCTTAACTACTGTTATAAAAGGTAAGGTAGTCCCTTTTCTGCCAGAAGCTCCAGCACCACACAGAAAAACATGAAATCTCCCATCCTAGCTAACTCATAAGCCTGAAACTTTTGTTTCAAACTGCCCAGATACCTCCAACCTACATAATAGAAAAATGTCAACCCTAAGTGTCAAGGTTTTGGAAATCAGCATGCAAATAAAGAATTGGACTCCAATTATAACTGTTCGCATAACAGTGTGCCTTCAATGTTACCAAATTAATTTTAACCTAGAAAAAAATCTTAATTTTACGAACTTTCTCTAATTAAAAAGGAAGAGCATCCACCTTACATACTTTGCATTCATTTTACTTATTTTTAACGTGTTTGGGGCTGTGAAGCCAAAAAGCAAAACCTTTTATAGCTCTGCATTACAATGTTGCCACTCAGAATGTGACATTATCTATTAGCATAAGTATTTACATTCACATCTCGATGCAATGCACACTGTGGTACAGTCAACGAGTAATTGGACTACTGCAAATCTGAGTGGTCTATATTCCTGTGCTTTATTTACATAAGAAAGATTCAGCTGGAAAGGTAACCTGCTTGTATTTGTAGTGGAGTGTGGCTCTATTTAGCTATGAATTTAAAGTACTTAACATTCAAAAAGATGCGTTTTTGCATTTAATAACATAATTCTAGGTTTCACAGATACTCTTCAGAGTTAAATTTAATGCACCAGATTTGCTAATGCTAACTGCAAACCATCATGCTACTGCACCATAGCTATCAAATTACCGACTATGAGAGGTTCTAGTCTTTGAAATAATAGAACATATTCAAACAAGTGCTTTTATATTTCTGGCAGGAAAAAAATAAGTGATCTCTTTTTAGGGAG